GCCATTGTGGGGCAACGGGGGAGCAGTGGGCTGCCATTGTGGGGCAACGGGGGAGCAGTGGGCTGCCATTGTGGGGCAACGGGGGAGCAGTGGGCTGCCATTGTGGGGCAACGGGGGAGCAGTGTGGGGTTAAGGGTCTTTACTCAGAGACCCAGAGTTGCAGTCTGTGCAAATGGGGCTTGAACTTGAAAACTGGATTCCAAGCTCTAGGCGCTGACCACTAGACCGCAAATTAGGCCGCCACCCCCCAGACAATCTAAATGTGGCAAAACAATTCATATGGCAATGCTAAAAATAAGAAACTTTTGACGTTTTGTACCACATTCCTGCACATCCTTTGTTTTGTTTAAGGTAAAACCTAATACTGAGAAACTTTACAATATTAGCAATCTTTATTATGTTGGTTCTCTACTTATTCTGTACAAGTAGAGTGCAAGTATGTTGAGATTAAACTCATAAACATACAAAAACATCAACTGTGTATCCAACAGCTGTGAGAAGATCAAACTCAACTGCCTAATTGATTTCTAGAATAATTCTAATTTCTTCTTTAACTCTGATTAAAGCAGTAAACTTCTTCCTATTAAACACTGTCTCCTGTTTTCTCCTGGCAAATGATCCCACCTGTTTACTTTGCTGTTGATGTTGTTTTTAGGGCACTTTGTCAAGCATAGATGGCCTATTTAAGGCCTGGTAGGAATATATTTGTTTATAAAGCAGATAGATGAAAAGGGGATGTCGTAAATATGGCGCTGTCTCACCCTAGGCAAATAGGTACAACTAGTGTTCTTGGACTTTAGCACCGATTTAAAACTGTAATCTCCAACAGACTGCAGATCAGTTTGCTTCACCTGGGTGTTAAGTAATACAAACTGTAGTCCTCTCCTCTGACCCTCAGCATAGCTGTGTGTTAAGTCATCTGCTGTTCAGAAAAGTAAAAATCAACGAGGACCAATTATCAGAGTCTTGGTCTGTTTGTTCCTGTTTTTTCTTCGTTTTCCATTTGTTGTCCTCTGCTGCCCTCTTGTGTCCTCCCTTGCCCTGTTTCTCTGTTCTGCCTGCACCTGTTTTCAATTTCCTCGTCAGTTCTCTCTTTGTCTCTATCCCCTTTAAAAGCCCTCCCTCTTCAGTTCCTGTTTGCTGGATTCTCGTCTAACATCTCGTCTAACTTCTGTCTGTGTTCCTCGTCTCTCCCTGGCTTCTAGTTTTGATTTACCCCTGATGTCTCCTTGGTTCTGGTACGTTTGTTATTTTCAGTTGGACTCTGATTCCTGCTTCTGGATCTGTGAACCAAAATAAACAGACTTTAATTCACCTCTGCCTACTGCTCTCTGCGTTTGGGTCCTCCAAACAAACATTGCCTCATGACACCAATGAAGAATAGAGAACAAACAGGAGAAAAAAAGAACAGAGGTGGACCAAGATCAATAAAAATTTGACATGAATCAGGAACAATAAAGAATAGATGTGGACCAGAACTAACTGGGAACAGATATAAACCAGAACTAATGAAAAATTGAAATGGACCAGGAAAAGTTAAGAATATACATTGAACAGGACAAATAAAGAACAAGCATGAACCAATACCAATAAAGAGTAGACAGAGAACCAGGACCAAAAAAGAGTAGACACTGAAAAGCAAGAATAAATCTGGACCAAGGACATTAAAATTAACAGGCATGGACCAGAACCATCCATTTTCTGTCACCCAAAGCGGGGTCAAGAGGGGTGCTGGTGTCTATCTCCAACTGTCAAGGGGTTAGAGGAAGAGTCCACCTTGGACAGGTCGCCAGTCCAACGCAGGGCAAAACAGAGACAAACAGGACAAACAAACATTCACGCACACACACACCTAAGGAGGATTTAGAGAAGCCAATTCACCTAAAAGTCATGTTTCTGGACTGGAGGAAGCCGGAGTACCCGGAGAGAACCCATGCATGCACAGGGAGAACATGCAAATTCAATGCAGAAAGACCCTGGGCTGGGAATCAAACCCAGAATCTTCTTGCTGCAAGTGCTGCACCCACTGTTCCACTGAGCAGCCCAGACCAGAACCAATGAAGAACATGAACCACAAATAGTGAAGAACAGTTTGAACTAGATGCAATGAAGAAATGGCATGGACAACAGATAATAGACAAAGACCAGGCCCAACAGGGTTTGAACTATATTCAACGACATGATCAATGAGCAGTTTAGAGGAGGTTCTACAGTCGTAATTATGAAAATGTCCCAGCAAGAGTCGGAGTCATCTTGCAAAAATTATAGGCAGGCCATTTTGACATTCAATAGAAGTGCTGTCCTGTCTTTTGTTCCATTTGTTTATCTCTAAAAAAAGATTCTTTTTGGTCAAAGCTACATACCTACTAGTCAGAACTGTAAATATAGATAACCTGAATTACATTTTTGTCAGAATTTTTTTTTCCAAAATGTTAAAACATATAATTATACTAGTAAGAATAAACTTTCAGATACCTAGAAATATTTACAAATACTAAGTGGCCGTTTTGACATTTATTAGCTGGAGTGAATATATATTTCAGATGTCTCAAATTGATTTCTTCCTAGTCAAAATAAACATTTAAGATATCTAAAATAACATTCTGCCTTTCTAAAATAAACATTTCAGTCAAGCTAATAAATGTCAAAACGGCCTGCCATAAATGCGCACTTTCATCTGGTTTGTTCTGCCGGCTTCCGTAGCGTCGTGAATTCGCAGGCGCGCACTTTCAGGAAATCCTATACACTACTGTTTATGCTCTAAAAACATTCTAAATGACTTTGTTTCGAGTAAATTCTGGATGCTACCCACTCAGGACACTTGGAATACATTGGACGAGCAGTATGGAGGAATATTGACACGTTTTTTGTGGACTTTTATGGACCTTTCTGTCTCGGGCGCCATAGACCTCCATTATTTGAATGTCAGCAGACAGCAAGAAGCCTCCCAGATCTCCAGATGCATTTGAGATATCAAAAAAGTACTCCAGAGTGTTGTTCAGCATGGGGGTGAGTAGAAAATGAAGGCTAATCATGTTTTGGGTGTACTATTCCTTTAAGTCTTTTTCTAATTAACCAGGAGTTCTCTTCAATTGTGTCAGCTGGATCCCGGAAGACCTCTGCAAACTGAACTAAAAAGCTGTTTATTTGTTTGGGGACAGAGGAGGGCCGATTTGGCCTTGGTGCATCTTGGGCTGCGATTTAGGTTTAGCCGCTTGGACCAAAATATAAGGATCTACACTAGAGGAATACAGAGTGATTTTTTAAAATTCCATTTCCATTGAAAGCAAAGAAGATACTTTTTAAATAGAGCTCTATCAGAAAATGTGCTTCCTCATAAAGATGAGGTCTGTACTCCTCACACTCATTAGTTGGGCTCATGCTTTTCACACACTCATACTCAACCCACCTTAGTGTAAACCCCCCATGAAAGTTCTGTCTCCGTCACCATGACAACAATTCCGAACATCCCGAAGATGAGTGCGTAGTCACTGAGTCGCTTTCGCTTCTCGAACAGCGCCCTCCGGTGACCGAGTTTGTAGCCAATGTCCCTGTTCTTCTTTTGTGGAGCCCGGCCTCTGCTTCGCCCGCTGCCCTCCCTGACGAGGCTCTCGTTGGATGCCTTACTGGGGTCTTCACCGCCGTTTCCCTTGGACACTACCACCTCCAACCCGGAGCTGTGCAGGGTCTGCAAGGGTTGCGTTTCTGAGTCGAGCTCTGCAAGGTTTCGGCGCGACGAGGACGCCAGGCTGCCCACTAGTGGTCTTACCACTCCGCCATTGTATTTGCAGGTGTTCATGGCTATCTGAGGGAGTCTGCCACTGCTCTCAGAGAGGGAGGGCTTGGATCCAGCATGGCTCAGCTTCTTCTGCTCAGTTGAGGCCTGTAAAACAGAAAAATATAAACAAATGAACAACAACAAATTAATGGCTTTCAAGTTGGTAAACGACACACAGATTTACGTTCAAATAAGGGTGCTGATACAGGAGTTTCAGCAACAACTGAAAATCTGGCAAAAAACGGTGGCATTTGTTTGATAATTTAAGGGTACATTGAAACACAGTGGCACACGTGGACATAAGGCAAGTTACAGGTAAGTTATCGGATCGTTGACATACGTTAAGTGTAAGTTACTCATAAGCCGTGGCATCTAGCTTATCCAAAACATATGAGTAACTTGTGCATAACTTATGCGTAACTTTTTAAGAACTTCTCTCCAACGCATATCAACATATCTGACGTGTTCCAGACGAGCGCTGAATGTGTTTCTAACTTCCAGCTACTGTATAATGGCCTATTGGCAGCGTTTTGGTATAAATGGGCGGGGGTGGGGGGTGTGAATGAGCCAAGAGGTGGATAAATGGATTGGTGTGGATGCCGCTATAATTCGCACACTTCACTGGTCTGTTGTGCAGTGTTGGGCACGTTATTTTGAAAAACTAATTCGTTATACTTACTAGTTACTTCTCCCAAAAAGTAACTGAGTTACTCTACAATAAAAGTAACTAGTTACTAGTAAAAGTAACTATTGCATTACTATCAGAGTCCAACTGTTGCATTACTGCAACATGTAGCTATATCCATCCATCCATCCATCCATCCATCCATCCATCCATCCATCCATCCATCCATCCATCCATCCATCCATCCAGATGTCATATCAAGGCTCTTTACAGTTCACCAGATCATCCAGTCAAATTGATTCAAGCTAATTGCTTCGACTCATTGACTCTTCAGCAATCCCTCACACTAAGCATGCTTGTAGCGACAGTGGAGAGGAAAACTCCCTTTTAACAGGAAGAAACCTCCAGCAGAACCAGGCTCAGTGTGAGCGGCCATCTGCTGAGGCCGACTGGGGGTTCAAGGAGACAGAAGCTGTCCCTATGTCCTCCAGCAGTCTAAGCCTAAA